AGAGAGGACAAGCACTTGTCAATAGATACTGTTTCCTCGCTCCCTTTCCTTGGTGACCATGGACTTCATGTGAAATCTCTTGTGTTAAGCAGGACAGTTAGTTAATGGCCAGGATACCTGTTGAGTTATGCCCCTTGTTGACTCTCTAAAAATGATGGCCAAGGGACATAGCCCAACCAAGTCTCTCATGACAGTGAACTGGCTTCACACATCATAAGACTTTGACTTCTAGGGAGCAGTGTCCCCTGGCATAAGGAAGTCATAATCCAACACTTACAAAATACTTCTCATAGACAGAATTGAGTCTGAGACAGAGGTCTGGAGACAGAGCATCTGGTATTCACATCTCTGTGAAGATCCCATGCTTTCCTCTACCAGGCACAATGTTGAGTCCCTTGAGGCCTTTCTTGAGGAATCATTCTAACTCCAAGAGTTGAAAGTCCCCACAAGCCTGCAGGAAGGTGAAAGACCTGTCTCTAGACTTTTCCCAAACTCCCACCACCCACTGGACACTATCCCTAGGAGACCAACTCTGCAGCCCCATCACAAGCACCGGAATGTGCTCCCTGTGGACATCTCTCCCCCACAACCCCAGCAGACTACATAGGCATAAGTGCAAACCACAGCATCTGGAAAATCAGGTAAGTGACTGGCCTTTCAGCTGGACTACCTCAAAGTCCAGACTCTAACTGAACTACACTAGCTGGGAAAAAACCAGCAGATTACATAGGCACAGGTGCAAACCACAATAGTTGGAAGAATAGGCACAGGCACAGGCCACATCAATTGGAATAAAAGATGAGTAAACACCTGTTTAAGAATATATTCCACAACCAAAATACAATGTGGCACCACCATGAACCAGTGATTCTACAACAACAAAACCTAAGTATTCCAATGCAACTGACAATTAACTTAAATGATAGATTATATAGAAGAGGAAATGAAAAGTTCCCTTAAAGAAGTTGAAGAAAAGGTAAAATTTCGAAGAAATCAATAACTTCCTTAAAGAATGCAAAGAACAAACAATCCGACAGGTGAAGGAGGAAATGGCTCAGGACAGGAAAACTGAAATAGAAACAAAAAATACAAACTGAGGGAATTCTGGAAACGGAAAATCTGGGTATGTGAACAGGAGTTACAGATGCAAGCATCACAAACAGAATACAAGAAATGGAAAGGAATCTCAGATATTGAAGACACAATACAGCAACTAGAAAATATTAAATCCAATTATTTTTGAACACAAAGCATCCAGGAAATCTGGGACACAATGAAAAGACCAAACCTAAGAATAACAGGGATAGAAAGAGAAGAATACTAGCTCAAAGGCACAGAAACACAGTAAACAAAAGCATAGAAGAAAAATTTCCTGACCTAAAGAACATGCCTGTAAAGGTACAAGAAGCTTACAGATCACCAATGAGGTTGACCAAAATAAAAATCCCCTTACCACATAAAAATCAAAATACTAAACATACAGAACAAAGAATTGTAAGAGCTTCAGAGGAAAAAGACCAACTAACATAAAGTGGCAGATCAATCAGAATTACACCAGACTTCTCAGTGGACAGAAGGTTCAGGACAGGTGTTTCAACACTAAGGAACAATGGATGCCAGTTAAGACTACTATAGCCAGCAAAACTTTCAATCAGCATAGATGGAGAAAGCAAGTTATTTCATGAAAAAACCAGATTTAAATAATACCTATCAACACATCCAGGACTACAGAAAGTACTAGAATGAAACATACAACCCAGGAACTGAGTTATATCCAAAAAAACAGTGATAAGGTAATCTCACACCAGCAAAACCCAAAGAAAGGAAAAACACACACTACCATCACCACTACCTAGCACAAAAAAATAACAAGGGTTAACAATCACTGATCATCACAGAAACATCTGACCTGACCAAGTGAGAGCAGACAGACCCCAGTAATAAAGCTGGGGAACCAGCACTGGACTGAACCAAGCCCTCTGAATGTGGGTGCCAGTTAGGAGGCCTGGGCACTCTATGGGACCTCTGACAGTGAAACCAGTATTTATCCCTGGTGCACAAATGGACTTTGGAAGCCCGTTCCACCATGGAGATATGTTCTCTCAGCCCAGATACATGAAGGAGAGCCTAGGCCCTCTCCCAAATGATGTGATAGACTTTGATGATCATCATCTCTGGAGAGGGGGTTCTATGGAACCCAATGGGGCATAGGAGGATGGAAGGGAGAGGGAACTGGGATTGATATGCAAAATGAGATTTGTTCCTAAATTAAATAAATAAAAGTTTAAAAAGTAAAAAACAAAAACAAGAAAGTCGCTAGTCAAAAACAAGTCTTAATATCAATAGACTAAAATTCACCAATAAAAAGACACCAGCTAACAGAATAGAAATGAAAACAGGACCCATCCTTCTGCTGCATACAAGAAACATACATCAACTTCAAAGACAGACACTACTTCAGAGTAAAAGGTTGGGAAAAGATTTTCAAATCAAATGATCCTAATAAGAAGCATATATACCTATCCTAATACATAACAAAATAAACTTCAAACAGAAAATTATCAAAAGAGATCGAGAAGGTAATTTCATATTCATCAAAGGAAAAATCTATAGAAATGAAGTCTCAAAATTCTGAACATATATGCCCCAATAACAAGACACCTGGATTTGGAAAATAAATATTACTAAACATAAAATCACATAGGAAACCACAAATATTAATAGTGGGAAACTTCAAAACCCCATTCTCACCACTGGAAACAAAGGAGCTAACAGATGTTATGACTCAAATGCACTTAATAGACATTTACAGAGCATTTCACTCAAATACAAAATATACTTTCTTCTCAGAATCTCAGGGAACCTTCTCTGAAATTGACCACATACTCATTATTAAAGCAAAATTAAATCAAGACCAGAGAAACAATTAAAACAGGGCTATAACACCTAAGAAAATACAAACCATCATTAAAGTCTCCCAAACAATAATAGTCCAGGGCCAGATAGTTTCAATGCAGAATTCTACCAGAATTTCAAAGAAGGGCTAATACCAATGCTCATCAAATTGTTCTACATAATAGAAACAAAAGGAAAATTGCCAAATTCATTCAGATAAGGCTTGGCTATGCTGATACCAAGCAAACAAAGATGTAGCAATGAAAGAGAATACCAATCTCCCTCATAAACTCAAAAAGGTATTCACCAAAACACCAAATAATCCAATAAAAATGGGGTACAGAACTGAACTGAGAATTCTCAATAGAGGAATCTAACATGGCTGAAAGACACTTAAAAATTTGCTCAACATCCTTAGCCATCAGGGAAATGCAAATCAAAACCACTCTGAGATATAATCTAATACCTGTCAGAATGGCCAAGATGCAAAACACTTATGACAACCAGTGTTGGAGAGGACGTGAAGTAAGAATGCTCCTCCACTCCTTCTGGGGGTCCAAACTTGTACAGTCATTTTGGAAATGAGTATGGCAGTTTCTCAGAAAATTGGGAATCAATGTACCTCAAGACCTGCAAAACTGCTCTTTAGCACAGGATGCCCAATCATATCTCTAGGATACTTGCTCAACTATGTTCATAGAAGCATTATTTGTAATAGCCAGAACCTAAACAAGATGCCCTCAACCAAAGAATGGATAAAGAAAATGTGACAATTTGCAAAATGGTGTATTACTCAGTGTGAAAAAAACAATGGCATCGAGAAAGTTGCAGACAACTATATGAAACTAGAAAAAAATCCTGAGTGCAGTAACCCAGACCCCGAAAAACAAACACAGTATGTACTCATTCATAAGAGAATACTATATGCAAAGAAAAGGATAACCAGGCTACAATCCTCAGCCCCCAAGAAGCTAGGTAGCAAGGAGGACCCTAAGAGGTACTTATGGATATTCCTGGGAAGAGGAAATAGATGAGATGTCCTGGGTAAACTGGAGGAAGTAGATGAGAGGGGATGGGTCAATAGGAACATGAGAACCCAACAAAGCAGAGTTGTTGGAAGACCAGAAGAGGAGAGTAACGAAAGAGATACCGTGAAAGACAGGGACATCATGGAGCTATGGAGAAACCTGGTGCCAGGGAAACTCCCAGGAACCTACAAGGATTACCCCAGCTATGGCTCCTTGCAATAGTGGAGAGGGTATCTGAACTGGACTTCCCCTGCAATTAGATTGATGACTACTCTAATCATCATGGAAGCAGATGCATAGATGGATATTCATGCTTTGGGCTGAGCTCTGGGAGTCCAGTTGAAGACAGAGTTGAGGGATTCCTAAAGAAGTGGATGGGGAAGTCAATACCATAATGGGGAAATATGCAGAGACAGCCAACCTGAGATTGCAGGAGCTCATGTACTACAGACAGACAGCTAAGAAACCAGCATGTGACCAACTTAGGACCTCTGCATCTGGGTGACAGTTGTGCATCTTGGTCATTTTGGGGGAACCCTAGAAGTGGGATCTGTATGCCCCTGATGCATGGTCTGAGTCCTTGGAACCTATTCCCTATGGCGGGATACCTTACTCAGCCTTGATGCAGGGAGGAGGAGCATGACCCTACCTCAGCTTGGTGTGTCATGCTTTGTTGATTCCTGTAGTAGACCTTATCTTTTCTGAATGGAGATGGAGAAGGAGTGAATAGGGGGTAGAAGGATGTAGGGTGAGGGAACAGGTGGAGAGAAAGGAGGGGAAACAATGGTTTGTATTAAATTTAAACATATAAAATTTAGACTAAGAAAACAAGAATCTACACAGACACTGATATCGTTGGTTGAGTTACCCACCATACATCCACCTCTGCAAAAGGTGAAGTTAAGTGAAGGATTCAGATCTACTGCAATCATTCTATATCATATGTGTCTTAAAGTAATGCTTGAATCCCAGGACAGGGGCACAGTGAATAGAAAAGGGAGGCACAGACCACTCTCCTTTGTGTGTCCAGTGAAACAAGCCTCATCTATATCACAGCGTTCACAACAAATCACTTACCATGCACATGAAGGTATATAGATGTGGTTGATATGATTTTTGCATGTCCATTATAGGTTCGTAGGGTATAGTATCCTGAATCCTTCTGTGTGACCTTCTCCAGCAGCAGGGAACCATTGGGATATATTGTCTCTCTACTGCTGTGCACAGGCCCCGGACCACTTAAATTGTGGCCCAGTATATAAACTGCGATTCCTTGTTTCATGTTTCTTAGTCCTTTGAACCAGGCAAAGGCTGTAACATTCTCAGGAAAATCATGAGGAAGAAAAAGGACATTTTCTCCTTCAGCCACTTGAAGTGGTGCCAATTCAGTGGTCACATGGGCAGTGGTGGGCAAGTGCCAGAGGGTTAAAAGAGAGGCTAGAAGAGAATTGAGAAAAAAACACCAATATTAAGCAGATGTGATTATCATCATTCAACTTTGGTGTGTGAGTAGGTGTGTACCCAGCCTCCTTTGCAGACAGGAGCAGCATGACTTCCATTGATTCAGAGTGTCAGAGTGACTCAGTAAATATCTTTGGAATTCTCTGCTCAGCTGTCTGTCAAGTTCTCCACTCACTGTCCCATATTCCTCCTCACACAGAGTGTTTTGTGTGAGAAGCAATGTCTCTTAGAATACCACCTCTAGAGAGGCCTTAATTTCTGACTTTTTTCTCTATTCCCTTTGAGATACTAGGTAACCCACAGCTTCATATTTTTGATATACTGACATTAGGCCCATTTGAATCAGGCCACTATGTGTGTTTGGTTTTGGTTTTGATTTTAGTTTAGTGTTTTTTTTGAGACAGGGTTTCTCTATGTACCCTTGGATGTCCCGGGACATGCTCTGAAGACCAGGCTGGCCTTGAACTCACAGAGATCAATTGACTCTGCATCTGGAGTGTTGGGATTAAGAGCCTGAGCCACCACCACCCAGCAGAACCAGAAATTTGTAATGGCAGGATTAGTGTGACCTTTTGGGAAGTTTCAGTTCCTAGAAAAGACTCAGACACAAGTAGATAAAGGAAGAAAAGAAGGAGGAATGTGGATCAATGGATTTGTCTTCACACCTCCCTGGTTTACAGCTTATGACAATAATAATATTCAAGTGTGAAATAAATGACTTTAGATTTACTTATACAAATATGTGAGTATTTGTGAAGGCAGGTGTCTCCTTGTGCACATATGAAGATATATGCCACATGTCTTCACGAGGGTGCATATGCCAGGGTTTGCATGTGTGGGTGTAAACACAGCACCTATGTGGAGGTTGCAATAGAACCTGCAGAAGTCTTCTCTCCCATAAACTGTGTGAATGGTGAATATGGGCTTCAGGTTCTCATATCTTTATACACTGAAACATCTCACTAGACCTCCCTGTTTGACTTCTATTTGGAGGGTCATGCTGTCTTGATTTGGAAGAGCTGCCTTCAGAAAATTCCAGCCAATGTAATTCACTGTGAATATGGAATGTTTGAGGTTTTTCTTGCCGCCATCACCTCCTGTCTCCTGAGAGCTTCAGGCTGCTGAGCCTCTGTCCCTCACTCCGCCTTCTTCACCGTAACTGCAAACGAAAGCCTTGAGTCTTCTATAGACTGCTTCTGAGCTTCCCTCCTCACACAGTCATAGAATGGTTACCCTTACCTGTGAGCAGAAACCCCTGCCATGGGGTGCACCCCTTGCAGAGAAGAACAGAGGACTCCTCCATCGAACTTCTCACTTGCTGTCCTCCCTCTAAAAAGAATAATCTCAGATCCAATACAGAACTCAGGCTCTGCTGCTCTTCTTCCTTCTGTACTGAGATTCTTCTCAGACAAAAGCACGTCCCAGAGTAAAATGGGATATGAGCAATGAATGGGGTTTAAGTCCAAGACACTCCTCAACCCCTTCCACTCTAGTGCTGACCCCATCCCTCTCAACTCCCTTTTATGTTTCTTCTACAAGCCACACCTTGAGAAATGAGGATAATAAGCATCCCCATGCCCTCAGAGAACAATAGCTCATCCCAGTGATGATGCCTGTTTCGTCTTGACCTTGGGTCTATCAGTACTAGAGAGAGCCTCCGTCATGCCTATGTGACCTTGTGACACAGAGACCCAGGTGAATACCCAGTCTACCCTGCAGGAAGGTAACAGAAATGCCTGTGAGGGATGAAAAGACACCATCTGAGTGATGGCTAGGGATGAAGATTAATCCTTTATCACTAATGTCATGAGTCAAATTAATCACCCAGGAGAGAGGCTCAGATGGAGTTGTGTGAGGAGTTTCATGTGTTAAGTGTTGGGGAAAAGGAGATCTGTGCATCCTTGAAATGATTGTGGACCCCATCTTCCTATGGAGTGTTTCAAGACTACATTCTAGCATTATGTGCTGGGTGCAGGGGTTTCCCTTCCTTCCTCTCCTCCCAGTCCCTTTACCCACTTCCCCCTTTCATTGATCCACCAGTCTGTTTTTGTGCCAGTACAATATGGTTTTTATTATTATAGCTCTATAGTAGAGCTTGAAATCAGAGATAGTAACACCTCAAGAAGTTCCTTTATTGTGTCCTCTCCTCCCAGTCCCTTTACCCACTTCCCCTTCCATTGATCCACCAGTCTGTTTTTGTGCCAATAAAATATGGTTTTTATTATTATAGCTCTATAGTAGAGCTTGAAATGAAAGATAGTAACACCTCAAGAAGTTCCTTTATTGTACAGAATTGTTTCTGCTATCTTGGGCTTTTTTTACTTTCCATAAGAAGTTGACTATTGTTCTTTGAAGAGATGTCAAGAATTGTGTTAGAATTTTGATGGTTATTGCATTGAATATGTAGATTACTTTTGGTAAGAAGGCCATTTTTACTATAGTAATCCTATCAATCCATGAGCATTGACACTCTTTCCATATTACGATATTTTTAAAAATTTCTTTCTTTGAAGACCTGAAGTTCTTGTCACAAAGGTCTTTCATTTGCTTGGTGTCTCAGGGTTTTTATTGTGAAAATAAACCATGACCATTGCCACTCCTACAAGGGAACATATTTAATTGGGATGGCTCATTTAGACTTTCAGAGATTCATTCCATTATCACCATGTCAGAGAACATGGCAGCATGCAGACAGATATGGGGTTTGAGATGTAGCTGAGAGCCCTACATCTTCCAGGCAACAGGAAATTGTTCACCTATCACAAAAGCAAAGCTTAAACAAAAGAGACCTCAAAGTCCAACCCCACAGTGAAACACTTCAGCTAACAAGGCCAAACCTACTTCAATGAGGTCATACCTGCTAATAGTAAAACTCCCTTTGGGGGCAATTTTCTTTCAAACCACAACACTTTGTTTGTGTTAGACTAAGATATTTTCTATTTGTGAATACTGTTGTCGCACCCACCTCGACCAGCAAGGAAGACGCAACGCTTGGACTCTTCTTTAAGCAGTTTATTCAGGAACTTTGAAAAATCTTCTGACCCCAGTGAGTGCCCGCCCACAGCTTAAAAAGGCCCTTGGGTGGCCAACCACAGTAAGCCATGTGGCAACAGCAGATAGGTCCACATATGAGGAAGCAAGCCTGATATCCTGCCTTGACCAAATAAGGAGTTGTTTATCACAGAGAGCACTTGCTCTCGGGCTAGCAGAATGCAGAAGCCAGCACCATCTTAAGGGTGCAGCACTTCGCAGCTCTCTACAGTTCCCCCTTTTTTGTTTTAAATGCAACAGGCAAGAGTAGAGGTCTGATCTCTGACAATGACAGGGACATTGTACTGATTACTCATTATGTGGCATCCACCCAACAAGCATCAGACCCATCTGATACCCTTTTTTCCAGAGGCGGGACTCTTGGGTACCAACCCTCATGTAATCAGACATGCTCTTCTCTGGGTCACTGTAGCTGACTCAGAGTGCAGTGCTCTGTCTCACACCCTGAGTGTATTTAATTAGTTCTTAAGGTGAGTAACCATGCCTGGGGGGGACTATTCTGCTTCAATCGTGCTAAAGGCCTGAATGATCATGGCTGCATTGCGTCTTTGTGTGACTCTAATCTTACATAGAAACCACAAGCAAACCAGGGAGACCAACACCAAGAGACCTGTTAATGCTCCTATACCTCCCCACTCCTTAAGATGGTTCATTGCAGAAGTCAGCCAGGATGATAATCCCGATGCTAAGGAAAGGTCCACTCTGGTGGAATTCACATGGACCACTGCCAGCCTCAACTCCTTCAAAGTATCTTCAAATTTACGTGACCAATTCTGTAAAAGAAAACTGGACAAATTTGCAGCTTTTGTAAAATTGGCATACTGAACAGATATAGTACATAATCCTTGCATTTTCCACTTGCAGCCTCCAGGTGCCAAGATTGCCACTCACTTCTCCTTAATTTGGCAATGATTTCCAAGCCTTAATGGCTATCTGATCCACCTGTTCAAACACCTGTCTATCCTGTCTGCATGTTTGCAAATCTACCTTTTCATTGCTGGAAAGGGGCACTGTTCATACCATGGGGATCACGACAAAACTCAAAAACCTGTATAAGACTGCATCATCTTATCTGTTTCAATTGTTGGAACACCTGACCCACTGCTTCTGGGCGTCTTGGTTCCTCAAACCACATAAGCCTGGAAGGAATCCTCAGCTTTTCATTTTCTGTAGAAACATAAGCACAAACTGACTCGGCCAAAGACTTCACTATCTTAAAATCCAATGGCTCATGATATCTCTGTCCTTGCTGATCTTGGAACACAGCGTAAGCAAGCTGCAATTCCATATGAACTTGCTTCCATGTCCCCGGACAAAAGGACCATTCAGAGCATGAACCCTGAGTAGGCTGATCCACTTCCGGGTATGGTGGTGGAGCAGTAGGTCTGCAACAGCCCTTCACTTCAATACCTGTTTGCCTGCTCTGATGTCTCCTCTTGTAATTGTCCTAAAGCATTTCTTCCCTTTTCAACTGCCTCACTACACTTCTGATCCTCAAGGCAACTCTTTACTAGTCTCCAGAGAGGCCGAACACCACCTCTGAGCATTTGAATTAATTCAGCAGCATTTATCATCAACTGTACTTTAGCAGTTGTTCCTTCCTGAGCAATCAAAAAACTGAAAAACACAAGAGCATACAGTATCCAGACTTATTGTGTATTTTCCATCTTTACGTGGCTTATTTATTTATATATTTTTAGATTTATTTATTTATTAATGAAGCAGCTCATTCAGAGCCAAAAAAAAAATGGGTGCGACTGAGAAGCGCCCATAGTCAAACTAACAATGTTTCTTTTAAGCATTTACTCTCGGTTCGCTGCTAGCCAAACTAACGATGTTTCTTTTTAGCTTTTACTTTTGGTTTCCTGCTAGCCAAACTAACAGTGTTTTTACTTTTGGTTCGCTGCTCCACGAACCTTTGTCCCGCTCTCTCTTTACCTACAGAGAAGAGCAAATCAACCGCTCTTGTGGCAGTCCCTTTTTTACCCCGCTCTTGTCGAGGTCCCTTTTTTGTCCCACCTTACCTTGGGAACTTACCAGCACGCTGCCCTGACTGCAGAATGTTCTGAGTCGATTGGAAAGGGTCCCCATACTTACCACCACTTGTCGTGCCCACCTCGACCAGCAAGGATGACGCAATGCTTGGACTCTTCTTTAAGCAGTTTATTCAGGAACCTTGAACAATTGTCTGACCCCGGGGACTGCCTGCCCACAGGTTAAAAAGACCCATGGGTGGCCAACCCCAGTAAGCCATGTGGCGACAGCAGATAGGTCCACATACGAGGAAGCAAGCCTAATATCCAGCCTTGACCAAATAAGGAGTTGTTTATCACAGAGAGCACTTGCTTTCGGGCTAGCAGAAGGCAGAAGCCAGCACCATCTTAAGGGTGCAGCACTTCACAGCTCTCTACATACTGTGAAGAATGTTTCAACCCTGATTTTTTTCTCAGATAATTTATTATTTGCATATAGGACTACTGATTTTTTAGTTACTTTTGTAACCAGTCAATTCATTGAAAATGTTTATCAGCCCTAGGAGTTCCCTGGCAGAACTTTTTGGATCAGTTATGTATATATTCATATATGCAAATAGTTATACTTTGACTTTTTCCTCTCTAGTTTACATCGACTTGATCTACTACAGTAGTCTTAATACTCTTGCTAAATTTCAAGTTCTTTCTTAAATGGATATGACAAGAGTGGACAGCGTTGTCTTGTCCCTGATTTTAGTGGAATTGCTTTGAGTTTTCCCCATTTAATTTTATGTTGGGGTTGGTTTGCTATATATTGCCTTTACTGTGTTTAAATATGTCCCTTGAATCCCTGTTATCTCCAACATGTTTATCACAAAGGAGTGTTGGATTTTTAAAGACCTTTTCAGCATCTAATGAGAGCTGGTAGGTGGGTCACTCACCTGATTTTTGACTAGTGTGGCCTGCACCCCAAGGCTGTTTTCTGTCCAGATGATTTTGGGCAGTCTCAGGGTGACAGTTAATGCTAACAAAGACACTGTTTCAAATTGTTAAGTTCTCTTCCTCCATAGGGAAATTGTAGACGTAATTCCCCATCCTCCAAGTGAGGGGCCCTCTCTGTTTGCCACGGTCATCACATGTGCTGTTGCCTATTCAGAGCTGGGGTACAGGTCAAGAACATCTACTCTGAGTGGGATGATGTTTCTCACTTCCCAAATACTTATCTCAGGGACATTGTGATCTGTACAGCTGACATTGTGAAGAGTTAGTGAAACAGCAT